AATAAAAAATTTACTATTGACTTCCTTTAAGTCCTTTTTCCAGACTCCCCTTCAAAAGAAAAAAAAAACAAAACAAGCAATCCAGAAATATACAAAATAAATCAACTACTACACAAATATGTTAGCATTAAACTTATAGACCTTCACATGCATACAAAATCTTTCATACAATTATTTTCAAATAAAAAGAGACACTACCATATAGTTTTAGTTTTACAACTTGCTATTTTGTATTCAGGATTTTAATTTTTAAAACAGGTGATTTGGCACTAATAATAAATTCGTTCTCATCTTAAAATGTGATGCCAGTAGCTATACTAACAAAAGGAAAACATTAAGAACATTTAGCAATAACTTTTTACTAATATAGATTTAGATACCTCAAATTTTTATATTAATTCAGAAAATTATAAACCATATCTAATTTTATATCAAATGTTTTATATGCTAAATTTTAATGTGATCTGAAATAATTATTCTATCTATGAATTCAAGGTAGAGTCTTTTAGGGCAGAAAAATTTAGAAAGTTGATTCTTTTTCCTATGCATTGCTAAGGAATAAGTCTTCTTTCAAAAGTGATTTTCTCTTGAGATTTCCACTCAAAGGGCTTGATAAAATCATATTTGAAAATGGAAAAGCTTAATACGGCAGCAGAATACAGACTTTTAAAAAAGCATTTATTTAATAACAAAAGAGAAGTGTTTGTATCAAAATCAGTAACTTTCAATGATGAAAGAAAACGAGATAGGATCTGAATAACACCAATGACAGAAGGTCAGAGCCCTCCCCAACCAGGGAATAATAAGCTGCTACTTTGTGACTTTTCCCTGAAACCTTAGGGCTTAGGAGTGCTGAAGCAATCAGATGAATAAAATTAAGTAACTGTGCACCCCACCCCATTAGGTATTTTTCCTGTTAACAAATAATCGGGCTTATCTTTCATAGGATGTCTGCTTTTTGTCTATGCTCTTTAAATTTAAAGTTTTATTAGGAAAGTAGAAAATATAATTTAAAACTGTTTGCTCTCATCCAATATTCTGCAGGTCAACAAGTAAACCCAAAATCCTGTGAACTTTATCACTTGAAAATGCTTACAAGTTATGTTCCAGCTCTGTAAAGATGGCTTCTCCCCACAACTAGAAGCTGTCCAAAGGCCCTTAACTTCAACAGAAGACAAGGAAACCTAACATAAGTAGCAACAAAAACACAGTATCATTTAAAGAAAAACACCAGGGCCACGTGGATGTAAGAGCAGTTACCTGTTCAAAAACTCCCCAAATTTATAATGGCCAACACTGTTCTTAGGAAGCTAGCAAGCAAGAATTTTAAATTTCTATTTCCTCTCTGGTCCTATTATATAAAGATATGCCTAAATTCTTTGAAAGGATGAAGATTAGAAGTTTTTATTTTGAAAGAAGGCCAGTTGCTGAGTCCTTGCCACCATTCCTTGCACAAAGCTGTAATCAGCAACTCAAACTACAATGTCAGTTGCCAAAGCTTCAAAATTTTCTCCAGGCTTTCCCTACACTCTCCCCACAAAATAGTATGCCTAAATACTTGAAAAATAAAATGAGCATGGTGGTTAAATATTTTTAGAAAAGGGAAATGAGGAAAGAGAAGTAATCTTCATTGTCAACAGTGAGACAGAAAAAAAAAAGATTAGTTTATGTCACTCAAGTTGCAATAGCTAACAACTTGTGATCACAGAAAATGGGATGCAACTGGTACCATGATATTTTGACTAAATTCAAGAAGTTGTTGTGCTACTGTTTGTATCAGAGGAAACTATGAATTAAATCTTAAAAGCAGACAAAAAAAGCATATTTTAATATGAGAATTTAAATATTTAAGCTAAGTACCTTGGCATATACCTGTAATATAGCTCTTGGAAGGTAGATGCAGAAGGATCGGGAATTCAAGGTTATTCTTGGCTATATAGTAAGTTTGAGGTCAGTCTGGGATAACTTGAGACCTTGTCTGGAAACACACACATACATACATGCACGCATGCATGCACATACCCACACAAAAGAAAATTATTTGCAGGGAAGACTAAATCAACAAAGTAATAGTTTACATTTTTTCATAATTTTTCACATGTACAGAAAATTTCCCCAACCTACTACAAAAGCACTAAGTACAATAACTCGCATTTCTTTATATAAGTCATTCACTGAACATGATATTTTGTACATAAGTATAACTTAAACTGTTTCAACTGGAGGAATGTGACTAAATGTCCCTGAGCCAACTGCTATACCTTAATATCACATTTGTAAATGTTTGAAAGGCACTTAGGTGAAGTTCTCATTTGAAATGCTTTAAATATCAGAAAGATACTTCAAAATCAAAAGATTAGCTTTAAAAGGAAGAGCAAAGGATAATTTACTATTTTTTAGCTCAAAAAAGAAAAATTGTCGTATGTTAATATTTGAGCCACCTTAGTTGTGACAAGGTATCGATATGGGTTCAATATTAATAACTACCATTTATTAAGGTTATTATTCCTGGACCTAGATTAGCACTTTGCACAGGCTATCTTATTTCATTCATCCCATTCAGTCAAGAAACATTAGAATCCCAGGTTCCACCAAGCTAAGTAGAGGATAAGGACAAGG